GGTAAATCGAAAAGTTTGCAGAATCTGTCAATGCAACTGAGAAAATGTTGCAACCATCCGTACTTATTCGTGGGCGAATACAACATCTGGCGAAAAGAAGAAATCGTGCGTGCATCCGGAAAATTCGAGCTCCTCGACCGCTTACTCCCAAAACTCCACCGAGCGGGTCACCGGGTTCTCCTTTTCTCGCAAATGACCCGTCTCATGGACATTCTCGAAGTCTATCTCCAACTTCACGAATTCAAATACCTCAGGCTCGATGGCTCAACAAAAACAGAAGAAAGAGGCACATTGTTGAAGCAATTCAATGCTCCTGATTCCCCTTTTTTCATGTTTCTATTGAGCACGAGAGCTGGAGGGCTTGGGCTTAATTTACAGACAGCGGATACCGTCATTATTTTTGATAGTGATTGGAATCCTCAGATGGACCAGCAGGCGGAGGATCGCGCCCATCGAATTGGTCAAAAGAAGGAAGTTCGGGTTTTTGTTTTGGTCAGCGTGGGGTCCGTTGAAGAGGTGATATTGGAACGCGCTAAACAGAAGATGGGGATTGATGCCAAAGTCATTCAGGCCGGGTTGTTTAATACCACTTCTACTGGTCAGTTTCTGTTTCTTTTTGACTTGATACTAAAACAAATATAAGTATAAAGTATGTTGTTATTATGGTTTATATAATACATATGGTGTAAATGTTATTATTACAGCTCAAGATAGGCGAGAGATGCTGAAAGAAGTGATGCGAAGAGGCACAAGTTCACTGGGAACAGACGTACCAAGTGAGCGAGAAATCAACCGTTTAACCGCACGATCCGACGAAGAATTCTGGCTGTTTGAAAAAATGGACGATGAAAGAAAACAAAAAGAGCGATACCGCACCCGCCTTATGGAAGACCACGAAGTACCTGATTGGGCCTACACAAAACCCGACAACCCAAAAGACATGAGAGGCAAAGGCTTTGATTACGAGACTGCTCATCTCTCTGGAAAAAGACGTAGAAAAGAGGTCGTGTATGCTGATACACTTAGCGAAATGCAGTGGATCAAAGCTGTTGAGCATGGAGGGGATCAGGTCGGTAAAAGTAAACCCAGGAGGGATGTGAGTCGTAATAGTGTTGAAGATGAGGGGGTGGAAGTGAAAATTGTGAGCGAGGGGATCGTGGAACGTGGGTCCGCGTCTGGGTCCGGGTTGAAGAGGGTGAGGTCGCCGAAAAGTGAGAATGTTGGGGTGGATGATGGGGATTTGCCGACATGGAGGACGCATAAGAAACGATCGATTCTGAGGTATGTTCCGTGATTCCGGTGTTGGAGGTTGGAATTGGAATAGGGTGGTATTAGGGTTTAGTTTTTGTTGTAAAATGGTGCAGTAGGTTTAAGATGGTTTTATTTGTTTATGGTTTTGGTTTGCGATGATGATATATGATAGTTTTTATTTTTACTGTTAAAATTCGTTTCGGTGTATGATATTTTGAGCATATAAAGCAGTTCTGTGTAATAGCTCTGTTTGGTTGTTTTTGTCCGAAAATGGGAATATGCTCTTCTTTTTTGTTTTTGTTACATAGAAAATGACAATACTGAAACAGATTAAATTTATATTTTTGATAAGACTTAAAACGACTTAATGGATTTCCAGTCTTACTTTGAATTAAACTTAAAAAAAATGAGCTTAATAGAGTCGGACACGTAACCTTTGGATGAAAGAAATGCAACAAATGATTATATCAACTTTGTGGTTATAAACTTATAATGAATTTACGGACTCAACGAACATTTATGAAAAGGATTGGTTTTGGTGGGATTTGAAAATGCGCCTCAACCCTGAAGAGTAGGAGCAAAGGAGCATCCTACGGGAAACTTGGTCTTCTTCGTAATTTTCAGCGACTACTTGACTCTAAATGAACAGGATTTGTTAAAAAAAGCAATTAATTATAAAAACGTTTTATCTAAAAATAGAAAATAGAGATTCAATATCACTTCCCTTCTCTTTAAAAAACGATCTTGGGTATTTGTCAAATTTCATACAACTCAAAAGTCAGTTGTAATTTGCTTTAGTGACTTTTGTTAAACAATTATTGTTAATCTTTAGTAGCAACTAATTCTGTCAAATTGATGGTGTTGATAGCCATTTTAAGACAAAACTCTTTTCTAAATGGTCTGCAAAGCTAATACCCAAAGATTCATCACCTTATCATATGTTTCTCGTCCTAATAAACATATAAAATGAAAACTTACAACTAGAAGTTGAGACTTAAACGTTTATTAGTTATTTCTTTTACCACTAGAATTTACAAAACTGACACTTCCTCTGTAAAGTATAAAAATTATACATCAATATCAATTGCAAATATAGGACGACACCTACCGACAAATTTAAATACAATTGAGGGTAAAATAGCTTATATGCTATATGCTATATTAAGGGTAAAAGAATAACTTGATTAAAATTATATCAAGATGCACTTTTTAGTACATGAAATATACTTAGCCAAAAACATATATTTAATTAAATAACAGAAAATAGAGTGACACCATATATCACATACAATAAACATCTATATTCTTACCCATTATGCTTCTCCGTAGAATATGTCAAAAAATTTGTAAGTATCAATTCGCCCTTACGAACATAATTAGCTTTACTAGGATTGGATTTTGGAAATTTTGTAAAAATGTCAAATAAAAGTAAAATTTAGGAAACAATCAACACTTCCTAGTGAAACTAGATGTATTTTAGAAAATAATTTACCTGAGTATAAATAAAACAAAAAGTTGCATAATGTGTGGTTTTAAGAACTAATATGTAGAATTAAGACATTCTTTTTTTGATTTGCCTCAATAACTTTAAAAATATTCATTTCTTATTTTTTCTCGATGATTACCTCCTCTTGTCATCTTAATCACATCTTCCTCCCCAATTTGTTGCGTCGGAGTTTGGCTTACATTTTTATGATTTGTGCTAAGATTTATTGAAATTTTGGGCCGTGGGCGGTCGTTAGGTTCAAGGTTGGTCCTGAAAAATAAAATATTCTTAAAGATCCGGAACGAATAAGAAAAAATGTTCTTATCTTTATTATAATTTTGTATTTTTAAATAAAAATATATAATGAAAAAATTTGGATCCTAAACCCCCCATGGCCAGGTTGCTCTATTGGTGACCTATAGTTTTTACTACTCTCTATTACTCTCTATTAAGGAGGTGTTTGGATTAGATATTTAGCTTATTGCTTTACCTTATTTGAGGTGGAAATAAACAATAAGCAATAAGCATGAGAATAGATGCTTATTAAAATTAGCTTATTTAACCTAATAAGCTGGATTTTATCTAAACACTTAAATTAGCTTATTACGGGAATAAGCAATAAACATTTCTTTTTTTTCCTATCCAAACACTCCCTAATTCGTTGCTCTCCCATCTATTCTTTGTCTACTCTCTATCCTTTTCGGTCCTATCATCTCGCGTAAGGTTAATCTTCTCATTTGTTTTTATGTGGAATATTGACAATGGGACCATTTCAAGTACATACCTTTGTTACTCACGGTTTGATAAGCCGAGATCAAGATGCAAGAGCATTAAACCAAGTTTTTTTTTTGTGTAAACTTTATGACAAGTTGCCATTTCAAGTGTTTATAATTTTTCTTGAACTTTGTAGCATTTTAGATGTTATTAACGGTTTCTGTTAATAACAAATAAATTATAAAGACAATTACTAATCTAGTCTAATTGAAGAAGTAATTAATTATTTTTAACTAAAAATTAGGAATTATCCAAAAGTAACCCACGAAACCGTAGGTAATTAGAGTGGACTACTGTTTCGTGATGAGTATTAATTTTTTTTTTTTTTCATTTTGAACTTGTAAAACCATAGGTTTTTTTTTGGAAACCTACAATTTGTTCTCAAGAACCTATGGTTTCGTTAATTTTTTTTAAAGTTTTTTGAAAGAAAAAATCATGAAATCATAACTTCAATACGATGGCTTACGAGGTTACAACAAATTAAAAAAAAAAAAAAACCGTAGGCTTCATATGAAGCCTACGGTTTTATTTTTTATTTATTTTATTTTATTTTCTTAAAAAGAGGTATTCCCATATACAAAAACTAACCCTAATCAACAATACAGTAAAATTTTGATAAAAAAATAGACGTACTTCGTTGTTCTTCGGGTGCTCAATTGAGAGAAAAAAGTAGGTAAAACCAAGAAAATAATAATCAAATAACCTAATTTGGAAAAATTATACATTATATACTATGAGTCAATGGACCGCGAAAGAGTAGACGAGCCGGAAAACAGTAACCCATTGCCACAAAAGAGTAGTTTTGTAGTGTTGACCGTAGTTAACCCTGACCAATCTACTATTTCGTAGGCTACTTTTGGCTAATGTATTTTTTGGCTATTTTTAGATAGGTAATTAGTGTTTTAGGCTAGATTAGTAATTTTGCCTATATTATATAGGAGAAATGGAGGGTGTATGTAACACCTCTCATATAGATTGTTTAAAATAAAATTTTAAAAGATCGTTGATGGGATTAAAATCCTTCATGATCGACAAGATTCAAATAGGTAAATAAAGAACACGAAGATAATCAGATAAATGTTGAATGATTAAAAGTCACGCCTCAGATGAACTTGATGAAGAATTTCAACTGTAGAGACGTGTTAGGGTTACAAGATCAATCAAAACAATTAACTAAAATAAGATGCATGCATGCACAATATATACTCTAACCCTAGAATTAAATATGGGAGGACATGCCCAAACCGTTTACAAAAAGGACTAATAATAAATTCCAATGATGCAACACTTAATATTCAACAATCCCCCCCCCCCCCCCCCCCTTTTGCGTCAATTGAGTTTGTAGCCCATTATCATCCAGTGATTCGCTTCTGCACTTTGAAGATTTTTGGAATAAAGCTCATTAGCGTCTTGCGAACATGGATGTACCACAATATCATATCAAAAAAGCACTTGACGTCATCCTTGTGGTTGCCCTTGAACTTAGTGATCAGGTCCAATATAAATTCCAGACAGGTAGTGTTGTATAGATGTTTGTCTTCGAGATAGAAGTAAGACTTGCGAAAGCCAGCTTCTGTTCGTTCTCTGGACTGATCACTACGAACCATCCTTCCTTGTATATCTTCCCTTCCTTTAATTTCTCGAAGTCTTTCAGAGCTTCCTTAGGAACGACAGTCGAATTCTTCTTCAAAACAGTGATAATATCCACATCCATCGATCCAACCTCTTGAATATAAGACTTGATCATTAGTTGGAGATGGGACATTACAAGCTCATACTTCTCTTTCTCTCTCAGCAATATGTTGTAAAGTACGATCCAATCATTAGGATTCAAACAAGGCAAGTCGAAGAGGGTGAATTCGTAGGCTTGACAAGCTGATCCTCTCACTACTTTAAACTTTACATTGGGGAAGCTTTCAACCTAGATCGGCCCAGTGACCTTCACATCAACTATCTTGTATGCACTCCATGTTTCGTACTGGGGATTCATGTGCTTTAAGTAGATGGAGAACAACAATTGATCGACACTACTATCCGTGAAAGGAGAATTCGCAACCTTCACAAAAGCACGAAACCTGAATGCTTTTGGAGTGATTGGAAGATCAAGTTGTGAATCCTGAGAATTTTGACGATCAAAGGACGCAATGGGATCCAACCAATATTGACTAGGTAGCTCCACAACATCATGCTGAATCTTCTTCAAGGTCCACTTTGGAAATAATAGCATTTTGCTTTTGAGAGTGGCATAAGCTTCCTTATCTGCCCTTTCTTTTTCCCCAGCTTCCTTGACAATTCGTTGTGTTTCATTCAATTCAGCATCACGAGCCTTCCGCCTTTTAAGTTCAGCTTCATCAGGCTCTTCGTCTTCATCATCATCGATTATGGGCTCTTCTTCGATCAAATTTTCCTTGCCCCTAGGCTCTTTCTTGATAACAAGCTTGACAGGGACTTTGGGAGGTTTAACTTTGGATCCACTTTCTCCCCTTGTTTCGGATCAGACGATTGAGGAGAAACACCCTGCAGACGATACAACATTGCGAAGACTAGGATCAGCTTTTCAACCATGTGTTTGCGAACAGTAATGGAAATCATTGAGTCGTTGGTCTCAATGATATCTGAGAGCAAACCAGTGACATCCGTAATGCAGCTTCGCACAACTGCCATCTCAGATAGCAAATCCTTGACCTGTTTCTCAGACTGTTGAAGCTTTGATCTAAAACTTTGACCTTCTCTGTCTTTTTGGCCAGGGTATCCATGACTCTACTTTCCATCGCCAAATCATCCTGAAGCTTTGTTATTTGCGAAGTGGGATATGTTTAAAACGATGCATGGTCTTGCTGCAATCCAGTATGAATTTTCTCTAAGTTGATCTTCTCAGTTTTGAACATTGCTCCCAAGTTCTGAAGAGCTTCATTCGTAAAGGCAATGTTGTTGTTGTAGGTGGTTATGTAATTCTCCATGAAAGTAGTCGTTTTAGAGATTAGTTTATTGAATTTTTGGGTCGTGGATTTGCGGACATCAGCAGATTTCGAAACTGCTGCGTTCATCTTTGCAGCATTTGCAACATGTTGTTTCGTTATGCACTCAAACAATGACTCAACTGTGGCTTTTGAATAGGCGTCAGAGGAAGAAGACTTGGAGGAAAGAAGCTGTTGGTCAAGTTTCTCGTTAATTGATTTAAGCTACCCTTTGGGAACTGTGGCTTAATCTTCACTTTCAGTTCGGATATGAAATGGACTATAAGTGAATCCGCCAAGATCATCATTATCACCATCATCTCCAAAGACCATATCTGGATCATCATTGCGAATGGGAGAGATGGATGAAGAAACATAGATAGAGAAGAATGAAGTTGTAGCCCCCGTATCAGATATGTTGACCGTGACTTCAGGGTTCGTTGAAGTAATGGGTGTTGTGGTTGAATCAGATAAGATTGGTATGGAGAAATGAATAGTTGTAGGTTGAGATTAGGTAACAGGAGGGGGACAGGGAACAATTATGATAGGGGTTGAGGTTGTTTTTGGTGAAGGAGGAGGAGAAGGAACATATTGGTTTACCTCTTGGTTCGTAGTACCCTCTGTATTGTGAACTAAAGGCTCTGGGTTCGCAGTCGGCTCCTCATTACGAACTAGTTGAGTTTCTTCAATTCGAACATTTGAATCAGTCTCGAAATCTGACTCTTCGCGTGCTGATGGTGTAGGAGTTTTTCGTTTGCGAGCCGGGTGCTTTCTTCTTTTTGGAGTAGAAGCAAAAGATGCTGCTGGTGCCTTTCGCTTTTTAGATGAAGGTTTTGTAGCACCTGATGGACCTTCTTTAGTAACAATTTTCTTTTCACCTTTCTTAGATCCCTTGCCTCCTTTCTTCGGTTTATCAACAACATCAATAGCAGCTTGCATATATGGAGTTAGTGGACGAAACCCCGAAGGTGTGGGCTTGCGAAACCCTTCCAAAATCTTACTTGATGCAGGGACATCCCGAAACATGACCTCTAGAATAGATCCAATGAATGAGAATTTTGAAGCATCGGCAACAATTATCCATGTTGTATGAAGGGTGGAAATCGTGAAAGCAAGGATATCCTGCATCGTTGGGATGTTTTGTTTGACAATTGCCCTGCGAACAATCAGGGACCAAAACCTTGCGCAAGAAATCTCAGTGTGACGAGAGGTTGAGATAGTACTATGAATAAGCTGAGCCCATAGAACTGATCCAAAGTCTATATTCATCCCTGTATAGAGACCATAAAGGAGGGTCATGAATAACTTACTTGCACAATCAGATCCCGTAATCCTTTTAGAAAAGCTTTTGAGCAGAATAGTGAATAAGGCATTCCATTGAGGAGGAAGTAGGTTTGCGAAATTTCTAGAGTGTAGACAGAGTCTCCTTGTATCCTATTTAATATAACATCTCCAGGAGAGCAGCACTGGAGATCGTTTCTAGATTGATCATGTCCTCTGATTGTGGAAGCCCTAGAAGTGAACAGAATCTGGTTTTGGTGATGGAAGTTTTCTGATCGTGAATATCAAAGATAATTTTGTTCTCCTCCATGATGTAGCTTGTAGAAGAATATGCCCTGGATAGAAGAGACATCAGAACATCCTCCATTTTGGTTAGAGCATGAACCAGTGGCGAATATTTGAGACACTCGATTATTGATAGAAGATATGAATCATATTTGCAAGGATCCAGATCGATAAGAAGATTTTGATTCGTTTTGACAGTTATAAGAGAAGATTGGACAGTTTGATCTTGAACTGATGATGAAGTCGCCATTGTTGAAAATTTGAGGAAGATGATGAACAATACAGAGCATTTTTATTAGTAGAATATCTTTTGAGAAGATTTTGAAAGTGATAATGTGAGAGGAACTGTTAAAACCTTTATACAGTATTCGATTTATGAGGGAAATCCGGAGAGAGAATGCATCGAGTACTAAACCGTTGCCTGAAAAAGCACGAATTGACAGCTATAGGTGTTAGACCCGTGCATCATGCGGAAGAAAAATAGCTAGCCGTTTCAAATTCTGCACGTGCCCGTTTGAATTCTTATCATCAGAACTTGCCTCGTCAACATCTATCTTTCGCAGTTAAATATTCTTTGTCCAACTATTATGAACCTTCACATTTAGAAAGCTTAGGTTAAACTACGAACATGAAATAAATTATAAATAACCACAAACAAGACTTTTGGAAGATCACTAGGATCTTTATGCAAGAGTGTCAAAGATAAAGAAACAAAAAAAGTATATTTGGGAATTTTGCGATGTCTGTACGAAGACATAAAACAGTTAATCGTGGGTAAAGATTTCTTCCTTCGAAGTCAAGAGAGACTAAGAAGTGTCTGTGTGGTTTCCCATTGAAATACAATCAAAATTTTTATAAGAAACCCTGAAAGGCTTCTTTTATTTTGGCTCATTGGGTGGATAACTCTCCAACCAGACAACGAAATTGATATAAGAACAAATGTCAGATGAAGAACTCGTGTGACCAGTGTAGTCAGTTGAATGAGTAGGTTCGGATTTATTTTGGTGACTAGATAAAACTTTGAAATCTCATACAAAAATAAAATGGTATCCTTTGGGAAGAAGTGACTTGGTAATAGAACACTTCATAAAGAACACACAAAAAAAATGAGATTTCGAGTTACAAACCACGAAAGTGAATATCGTTAATTCCATGGTGAAAATCTAGAACTTGTAATTGTTCACCGTCAGTTGATGTTGTTGAGCCAATTACTTGGTTGACTTTTGGTTAATCCTTTGAACTTTTGTTGAATGTTGAAGAATCCATGAACATGTTCTTGAATCTTTATGGAAATGTTTTGTGTTTTAACATCTTATCATTACTTGTATGTTTTAGTTCATGAGTTTAAATGTGTTTGTGGTGATTAGTTGGCTAATTTCTTGATTAAGTAAAGGATCCTCAAATTAGCAAGCAACAAATGATTTTTGTGTTGTTTTTGCTTCACACAATCATAAAAACATTTCCTCCAACATGGTGGTGAAAGCATTTGACCCCTCTTGGATTTGGTGACTTTTTGGTTCTTAATGCTAGTTGACTTTCACTAATTACATGCTATTTGGAATTAGTGACTTTGACTAAGGAAATTGTTATGAGCTTCTCTAGCCATTTCAACAATTAAGAAAAGTCTAGGTAATCTCAAGCTCCTTGGATTACTATAGCCAAATTGAGGATTTAAAACAAGTATTGCACCATTGAATTCTAATGATATGTTCATCAAAAGTCAAAGTGAGAAAACTTTAAGTCAACCATCTTTCCCTTATTGATTTTACATCAAATTCTTATTTTTGTTGCAATTGTCTATTTAAATCATAGTTAATTCTAGTTTGTTTCAAGTATTTCAAAACACCAAAACCCCCATTTTTAATTTATTGTCATATTCCAAGTATTTTACAAAGAGATTTTTCATAGAGTTATCAAATTGAACCAGTCTCCGTGGATTCGATCCCTTTACCACTATACACTATTTTAGTGTGTAATAATTAGGGTTATTATTTGTGTTGGCCTCGACAACCACCAAATTTTTGGCGCCGTTGCCGGGGATTGGTTTATTTTTAATCAATTTGTTTCTTTATGCCCAGATCTCAGCGTACAGGTGACTTGATTTACAATCCAGAAATCGAAAAAGAAGCAAGGCGTTTGGCGAAGGAAAAGCGAATTGAACGTGGTCAAACTTCTAATCCTCACGGGGATCCGGAGGTCAAAACCGCTTCATTAAGCGACATAGAGCCCGATTCTAGTCCCGACCTTCGCCAAGAAATTCCCGAAACACCACCCCTACAACAGAATCCACCCATTATTGAACCAATTGAAATGGCGGACGGAGGAGAAGTTCCCGAAAGAACTTTGAGGCAAATGATGGAGACCGATGTTACACAAACTCCAACCGGTATCAATTACTCAGTTTTGGAAGGAGGCTCGGAGTTGAAGTCAAGTTTAGTCCATCTCCTACCGACTTTCCATGGATTGGAGAATGAAGACCCTCATAAGCATTTGAAGATGTTCCACATTATTTGCACTAGCATGAAGCCACAAGGGTCAAAACGATGACCAAATCAAGCTAAGGGCATTCCCCTTTTCATTGGCCGATAGAGCAAAAGATTGGTTATTCTATCTTCCACCGGGGTCGATCAACTCATGGACCGACATGGCAAGAGCTTTCCTTGACAAGTTTTATCCCGCCTCAAGAGTCTCAAGTCTTCGAAATGAGATTTGTGGAATCCGCCAAGGTCAAAATGAGACTTTCCATGATTATTGGGAGAGGTTCAACAACTTGTGCTATAGTTGCCCACAACACCAAATTCCGGAACAACTCCTCATTCAACACTTCTATGAGGGATTGTTGCCAATGGAGAGAAGACTAGTTGATGCCTCAAGTGGTGGAGATGTCTTTAGTAAAACCGCACAACAAACAAGACAACTTTTCAACACCATAGCCGCAAATTCACAACATTTTGGCCCTCGCCAAGACATGAAGAGAGACACACAACACAAAGTTAATGAAGTGGGAACATCGAATCTTGAGTCTCAAATAAAAGATCTAACATCCGTCGTCCAAAAGCTAGCCATGGGACAAACTCCACAAGTGATGGTTTGTGGAATATGTGCAACCATGGGACATCCTACGGATATGTGTCCCATCCTTCAAGAAGATGCGGAGCATGTGAATGCCACGGGAGAATTCCAAAACTACCACAACAAACCATCCGGGTACCAAAATGCATATAATTCAAGTTGGAAACCAAATCCCAATGGAAGCTACAACCCAAGACCATTACCTCACAATGCATTGGTTAGACCATCTTTATCCACCACCACAACCTCAATACCAACATCAACAACCACACTATCAATCCAAAAACGCACCCTCCACATCATCATCAACAATCTCCTCAATCTCAACCAAGTAGCTCCGGAATGTCTCTTGAAGACATTGTCAAATCTCTAGCCACTAGTACCCAACAATTCCAAAAAGAGACAAGGACTAGTATCTCCAACCTTGAAGCACAAATGGGAGATATAGTTACGTCCATAAGCAAGTTGGAATCCTGTGGTAAACTCCCTTCTCAAACCGAAAAGAACCCAAATGTCAATGTGGTGACCTTGAGAAGTGGCAAGCAAGTCGGAGAAAGTAGTTCAAAGAAGAAGCCAAGGGAAGAAGAGGAAGAAATAGAGATCATTCCCATTGAAGAACCTACAGTCAAGAACGATGCACAAGCCGGAGTTCCAAAGAAGTCCATCCCTCTAGTAACACCAATAGCCACTCAACCACCGTTCCCCTCTCGACTTGCAACTTCAAAGAAGAATATGGAGGAGAAAGAGATTTTGGACACCTTCCGAAAGGTGGAAGTAAACATCCCTCTACTTGATGCAATCAAGCAAATCCCGAGATATGCAAAGTTCTTGAAAGAACTTTGTACCAACAAGAGGAAGTTGAAGGGAAATGAGAAAATTTTGATGAATGAAAACGCATCCGCGGTTTTACAAAGGAAACTTCCACCCAAATGCAAAGATCCCGGAATGTTCACGGTTCCTTGCAAGATTGGAGATGTCACTTTTAGTAGTGCTATGCTTGATCTTGGTGCTTCTATCAATGTCATGCCCTATTCAGTGTATGAATCATTAAATGTCGGACCCTTAAGTGAAACCGGTGTCATAATCTCTCTTGCGGATAAATCAAGTGTCTTTCCTAGAGGTGTTTTAGAAGATGTCCTAGTGCAAGTGAACCAATTAGTCTTCCCGGCGGATTTCTATGTGATTGATCTAGATGAGCAAGTGTCTTCCAAATCGGCTCTAATCTTGCTTGGGAGACCGTTTTTGAAGACGGCTAGGAAAAAAGATCGATGTGTATGCAGGAAGTTTGACAATGGAGTTTGATGGTGAAACAATAAGTTTTAATATTTATGATGCCATGAGATATCCTAGTGATGTTTCATCTTTGTACTTTGTTGATGTTGTTGAGCCAATTACTCAAGAATTGTTTGAGTTATCTAACGGTGATATGTTGGAGATGATCTTAAGCAAAGGATTCGATTGTGGGAAGCTAGCCGAGCAATTAAAGCTTTATTCTTTGGATCCGGAAGTTGAGAAGTTGGTAAATAAAATGGAAATGAAAAAATCCACAAGATTAGATGTCAAGCAAATTGAATTGTCCCAAACTCATACAAAATTGTCTCCATCCCTTGTTCAACCACCCGAATTGGAATTAAAGGTCTTACCTCAACACTTGAAGTATGCCTACTTGGGAAAGAATGAAACCCTTCCGGTTATCATCTCAACTCATTTAACCGAATTTGAAGAAGAGCAACTCCTCAAGGTGTTGAAGGAGCATAAAGAAGCCATGGGTTGGACGATTGCGGATATCAAGGGTTTGAGCCCCTCCACTTGTATGCACAAGATCTTAATGGAGGATGAATGCAAGCCAAGTAGAGACGCGCAAAGAAGGCTAAATCCACCAATGATGGAAGTCGTGAAGAAAGAGATATTAAAGCTTCTTGATGCGGGGATGATCTATCCAATCTCGGATAGCAAGTGGGTGAGTCCGGTGCAAGTCGTTCCAAAGAAGACGGGAATCACGGTGGTCGAGAACAACAAAGGTATGATGGTCCCCACCCGTGTGCAAAACGGGTGGAGAGTATGTATTGACTACCGCAAACTCAATGCGAGCACACGAAAAGATCATTTCCCATTGCCTTTCATTGACCAAATGTTAGAAAGGTTGGCCGGGAAATCCCATTATTGTTGTCTAGACGGGTACTCTGGTTTTCACCAAATCCCGGTGGCACCGGAGACCAAGAAAAGACAACATTTACATGCCCATTTGGTACTTTTGCATACCGGAGAATGCCATTTGGATTGTGTAACGCCCCGGCCACTTTCCAACGTTGTATGGTTAGTATCTTTTCGGATTATGTTGAAAACATAATTGAGGTTTTTATGGATGATTTCACGGTACATGGCAACTCTTTTCAAGAATGTTTGACTAATCTCACAAAAATTTTAAAAAGATGCATTGAAACAAACTTGGTTTTGAATTTTGAGAAATGTCATTTCATGGTGAGTCAAGGTCTCATTTTGGGTCACATTGTGTCTAAAAAAGGAATTGAGGTAGATAAGGCCAAAATTGATGTTATTCAAAGCTTACCTTACCCGACTTGTGTTCGGGAAGTTCGTTCTTTTCTGGGCCATGCAGGTTTCTACCGAAGGTTCATCAAGGATTTTTCAAAGATAACAAGACCAATGTGCCAACTCTTGCAAAAGGAGGTCGATTTCGAGTTCAATGAGGCGTGCAAAGAAGCTTTTGACAAGCTCAAAGAGTTGCTTACATCCGCTCCCATCATGCAAGCACCAAATTGGGATCTCCCTTTTGAGATCATGTGTGATGCAAGCAACTATGCGATTGGCGCCGTTTTGGGTCAAAAGAATGGGAGACCTCCCATGTGATCTATTATGCATCAAGGACACTAGACAATGCCCAAAGCAACTACTCTACCACGGAGAAGGATCTATTAGCCATAGTGTTCGCCTTGGAGAAATTTAGACAATACCTACTTGGTACCAAGGTCATAGTGTATTCGGATCACGCAACTCTTAAGTACTTGATGACGAAGAAAGATGCAAAGCCGAGACTCATCCGGTGGATCCTACTGTTACAAGAATTTGACATGGAAATCCGGGATAAGAGCGGATGCGAGAACCTCGTTGCCGATCATCTAAGTCGGATCACTTCAAATGAAACTCCTCTCCTATTGCGGGACGAGTTTCCGGATGAGCATCTCTTTTCCCTTACCCAATCTATTCCTTGGTATGCCGATATCGTTAACTTTTTGGTCACAAAAAGGTATCCCGACACATTCACGCGTTCTCAAAAAGACAAGTTGAAAAGTGATGCAAAATACTATGTGTGGGATGAACCTTATTTGTGGAAACATTGTCCCGATCAAATCATTAGGCGATGTGTGCCCCAACAAGAGCACCAATCCATTTTGCAATTTTGTCATGAATTTGCTTGTGGGGGACACTTCGGACCTAGCCGGACTTTGAGAAAAGTCCTTGAATGTGGATTATTTTGGCCAACCATGTCACGCGATAGTTATATGTTTTGCAAAAGTTGTGAGCGGTGCCAAAGGACGGGAAACATTTCGCAAAAGAACCAAATGCCCCAAAATCCAATCCTTGTTTGTGAAATTTTCGACGTATGGGGGATTGATTTTATGGGCCCATTTCCCGTATCATTTGGCAACGTTTATATTTTACTCGCGGTTGACTATGTTTCTAAATGGGTTGAAGCCAAAGCCACAAGATCGGACGATGCCAAAACGGTTATCGAGTTTTTAAAGTCTAATGTTTTTGCGAGATTTGGTGTGCCTAGGGCTTTGATTAGTGATAGAGGGACGCACTTTTGCAACAAAATGATGGAGGCTCTATTGAAGAAGTATCACGTGACTCATCGTGTCTCCACTGCCTATCACCCTCAAACGAATGGTCAAGCGGAGGTCTCGAATCGTGAAGTGAAGTCTATTCTAGAGAAAACGGTGAATCCGACAAAGAAGGATTGGAGTTTGAGACTTGACGATGCCTTATGGGCATATCGGACCGCTTATAAGACCCCGATTGGAATGTCGCCCTTCAGATTAGTTTTCGGAAAACCTTGTCATCTTCCCGTCGAGTTAGAGCACCGAGCATTTTGGGCGGTCAAGAAATGCAACTTCGACATTGACGAGGCTGGAAGGCATAGGAAACTTCAACTCCAAGATCTAGAAGAATTGAGAAACGAATCCTATGAAAACGCAAGGATTTATAAGGAGAAAACGAAGCTCTTCCACGACAAGTCCATCACCCGGAAGAATTTTGAACCGGGACATAGGGTCTTACTTTACCATTCACGGTTGAAGTTATTCCCGGGCAAATTAAGATCAAGGTGGATTGGCCCATTTGTTGTAATAAAGACTTTTGACCATGGAGCGGTGGAAATCCAAAGTGAAGAAACGGGACATATTTTCAAAGTTAACGGGCACCGATTAAAGCCATTCTATGAAAGTTTTAATGCAAGTGTTATTGAAGTCATCCACTTGGATGTCCGGAGTGTTGAACCAAGCTAGAAGGACGTCTCGCCTAAGACGTTAAAGAGAGGCATTTTTGGAAAAGCTTTATGCTTTCGTGTTTCTACGTTCGAATAAAGAAGTTTTGAAAATGTTTTGATACGTCTTTTGAAGTCATTTTTGAAGAAATCAAGAGTTTCTAGGTGTTTGGGGCATTTGGGATCAAGAACTAGTGAAGAAACGGAAGAAAACAGAGAAAAATCGATTTCCGGGAGCAGGGTCTGCGCGACCCGCGCACGGGGTGCGCGGCCGGTCTTCAACATGCAACAAAAAATCAAGCACCAAACTGCATGATCTGCGCGACCCGCGCGCCCCCTCTGCGCGACCCGCGTGCTGCTTTGACGACTATCCCTATTTTGTTGACCAGCTTTGACTTTCATTGACCAGGTGGTTTAATGAGTTGACCAACATTGACCGGGTGTTGACCACACTTGTATATGGATTAAAAACCTCCAGCAACTCTTCTTCTTCATTTTATTCTCTCAAAAACCCCTCATTCTCTCTTAAACTCTCAAGAACACATAAACCCACTTTTCACAAAAATTTGATTTCCCGGAGTTCCACCGGTCGGAATACGACGAGACCACCACCATTCTTCACCATTTTCCGTGATCTACAAACCCCACCTAAAGTTTACTCCGATCCATCGCCGGGTCTAGGGGCGCCACCACCACCCAACTCGCGGCTTTCCAGCCATTTTCCGGCCAACTCCCACCACCTCTCGAAATTCCGACACCACCAAAGTGTTTCTTTTTCGGGGATCTTTACATCTAACCAAACAAAACCTCAAAATCTCACCAAAAATTTTCCCATAATTTTTGAGCCACCACGAGCCGCCGCCGGATTTTTCACACAAATCAAGTTGAAAATATCCCTTCAATGAACAAGTCTTGCATTTAGGCACCCACGAATAACCAAAGCTTGGGGTGCACGGTAGCGGATTCCGGGTTCAAGTTCAATTTTGGGATAATACGGGTATTCTCTTTCCTTGGTTTTTATTACATTGCATTGTTTCAATTCAGTAATTGCATCCAATTATGCTTTGGAAATTGCCTAAGATCGTTAGTTGTTGCCCGGTTTATTTGGAAACATTGATTTGAGAAAGGTTGAGATTGGTTAATTTGCTTGGAAATTTGTTCAAAAATTGTTTAAACTTTGGTTGGGATTTTCTCATTTTGTCTCATATTGCTGCCGAATTTTTGTTGGGATTATCGAATTAACCGAGTGTGTTGTTGAAACCATTTTACATTGTCAAAAGTTGGGTGTCATTATTTCTTGGATTTTTTTTTGTGTTCGGTCTAAAGATAGTTGCATTGATTTGAGAGTGGTGAGGTGAGGGATTACGTTGGTGAAGTTGTTTTTGATATTGTAGGTTTCGAAAATGGGCAAAACCACGGCTCGGACACGCACCCATGGATCATCGATCGATCCTAACCCGCAAAAGGATACCGCCGGTCCATCACGCAAAGCAGCCGGTAAACGAAAAAAAAGAGGAGAAGAGGGAAGCGATCCTTCCCTTACAAATGCTGAGATCAAAACCTATCGCTCCAATCTTCGGGGTCGCGCAATCCGGCCGACAAAATTCTACCATAAAAAGTCCATGAAAAAGCTTGGGGTGCATGATGGTGTATACCATTTGTTCATAAAACTCGGTTGGCGTGGTTTTCTTCGACTTTGTGACAGAACTTACGAGGAACCCACAATGGAATTTCTTAGCACATATGCACGAGATGATGACACGGAAGTCCTCACATTCCAGTTGAAAGGGGAGCATCATAGACTCACATACGAAGAGCTTGATTCTATCATGGGTATAGACGATCCATTCCGCATCAGCCCCCAAAATCAAGAGTACCAAGATTTTCTGCGTTACCCTGATGCAAACTTTTGGATGCAAATTTCCGGTCTCCCAACCTTCAACCCAAGCCGACAGCGAGCCAAGCACATCGTTCACCCCTGTTGGCGAATTGCTCACCGAGTCCTTACGACGAGTATCTTCGGGCGTCTCGAGCCCGGTCAAATCAACAGATGTGAGCTATTTTTCCTCCGAAGCATGAGGCGTGCACTCCCCTCAGTTTTTCAGGCTTCTTTTTAGACAAATGTGACTCCATACGCCAACGTTCCTCAGGGGAAATTTTCATCGGGGGACTTATCACGATCATAGGTCGAGCCGTCGGCCTAGACTTCCCGGATCCCGAGTACATACCTGTCGACACCCCACCGAACTTCCTGCTAGATTGTGACACTCTCATCCGGATGGAGATGTTGCTCGATCGGGGAACCCGCACGTACAGTTGGTTAGACTCTGACAAAGCCCCGGTTTACATCCTGCCAAGTTGGATCGGTTCTTCATTCGATACAGGCGACCCCGACACTTGGCTTCCTCCAGATCAATTGACCCAAGCAGGTGTATTCCCAGAATTCGGTGATGATGAGGGTGACGACGCAGAGCAACAAGAGGAAGAAGATGACGAAGAGAACGACGAGATGCCCGAAGCTGAGGATCATTTTGACCAGCCCTCGATGCAGCAGCCGATGTTTCCGCATGATCAATTCCAGGCCCCTCCACATCATTTTGACCAGCCGCATCAGCAGGAGGGACACGAAGTCCCACCATATTTCCCCCCCATGTTCTTTGACCAATTTGCCACAATGTTCTCCACGGTGCAACGCATCGACGCCCAAACGCAAGAGAATTCGAGAGCCATCCTAGATGTGGCAAGCCGTGTTGATCGATTGGAGCAGTCCTCCTCTCACACTTCCCGCCAGGTCCAGGATATGTGGGACTACCACTATCGCCACGGGCATTTCCCGCCGCCCGACCCCCGATTTAGGTCCTTTCCGCCCTTTCCTCAAGCATTGAGGACAATGCTCGTTCTTAAGCTTGGGGTGGGGCATTTCATTTTCCTTTTATTTTTTTCATGCATTTTTAATTAGGTTGCATAACATTTTAGTTTTAAGCTAATTTTCATTCATTTTTTTTAATTCCAAAAAGATTTTATTTTCTTCTTTTTCCACTTTTTATTTTTGCATAACATTTAGCTTAAGACATTAGCATTCATGCATTTTTGTTGTCTGTTTATTCTCACCTCTCTTGGATGCCATGGAACAGGTTCACAGTTATTGTATCATTATTGGTCCAGGATCTTGTTGCTATCTCACCCATCGAATCGGGACCACTAGCTGCAGTTTGGGATTTCATACTTGGGATCAGATGCTGGTAGCTTAAAGGGGTAAGTGATCATGGCCAGGTAGTTTCATGAAGAATTATGCATACAATACTAACAACTGTAGGATATACTATAGCAATGGGTGTTCTTAGCCTTGCGGTCACTACCGCGGAGAGGATCACACTTGATCATGTTTGAACTGTTAGGATGAAGCATTGGTGCTTGTCCCCGAGTAGAATCCATATCCGGTCTCTTTACATCACCATATCTTTTTGCGATTTTCTTAGAATTTAGAGAGTCTTTTAGTCCACATTTGGACATTTTCATTATCTTTGAAAAACCACAAGTTTGAAAAGGAGCTTACATTACATCTTTATGCTCCACACATGGTCATTTTCACACTTAGGCCATTCGGATTATATCATTACCCTTTCGGTTCCACCTACACACCTTTGGGAACCAAATTTTGAGTCAAAGGGTTTTCTCATCAAAAAAAAAAAAAAAAAAAAACAAAAACAAAAACAAAATGAAGCATGCAAATTTTCAGTTGCAACTATCTTAGATAGGTGGCCGGTTCAATTATTGAACAAATTTCCCAACATCTTGGTCACCCGGCGTTTGATATTCATTTATTTAGGTATGTTTTATTGTATATAGATCGAGTTGTTTTTCGCAAATTGGTGATGTTAGGGAGACTGTCGAGTCGGATACTACGGGAGGTTTGGGCCAACACCAAGTGAATCGATTCCTACAACGGTGCCGAGCGATTAAACCTAGTTACACATGAGAGAAACCGGCAAATGTGAGATCAGAGTGTACACTTAAAAAAGAGCTCCACCCGAGCCCATCCAGTTG